AATATGAAATTTAATAAAATATTCTTGCATCGGAAAACTCGTGGAATAAAACATGTATATATACAGACCTTTTAAAATTCAAACTGACCTATTTTCCGTGCATTCATCGTGCATCGTCCGTTCTACGTGCGTGCATCGTTCATTCATTATGCATTAAACGTGCGTGCGCTCATCGTTCATCATTCTGTGTGTTTTCCATTCAACGTGCGCTCAACGTTCATTCATTCTTAATCGTATTAAGTGCGTTCAACGTTCATTCATTCTCAATTGTGTTTAGTGCGCTCAACGTTCATTCATTCTTAATCGTGTAATGTGCACTCAACGTGTGTTAATTCTAAATCGGATGATATTCATTCAGTCTTTAGTGCATTTTGTAAGATGACTTTACAGTCTTGTATAACCATAACTGATCGGAAAACTTTTTTTTTAATTGCGAGATACTCATTTTTTCGTCTACTTGTATATGTGTATCACGATGTTATAGAAATGGGTTTACTATTATGTAACTTTATCTTAATTCAATTGCAATATATTTGAAACAGCAAATATCAAATCTCTTGTTCTCGATTTTGCGTTAAAACTTTACTTACGTCTATAATTGAGTCTGAAAATTAAACCCATTAGTGTAAGAATTAGATCTTTAAGCTGACAAATGTTTATCTCTCAACGGGATTTGAACTCACACCTTTGATACACTGCAGCACCAATCGCAATATGCATGTATATATATATTTTGGACATCTTATTAATAACGTTCAACTTGAGTCATTTCTCCAATGTTGAACTATGCTAGATTAAAATTCTGAACGCTTATTTGGCAAATTCATATTCTACTTAGATATTTTCAATCATTTAGGTTTTGATAAATACCATGAAAGATATCAGATTTGTCCTAGTTCCTGGTGGTCACATGCATGTACATGAGGGTATTTCATCAAGAATATACAATATACAAGGTTGTCGGGTGAATGTGGATTGCGGATTAAGAAGTTGGATGTCAAACTTGAATAAACAAACTGAGGCAAAATTAACACGGATATGTATTTTCTCTTTAGCAACTTTTTTATTCTCTGTTCTTTATTTTAATTTAAACTAAGCTAGATACGTTTTGTGGCATATAAAATAAAATGTAGTACGTTAGGTCTTGTGTGTATCCTAACCTAAGGATCGCTGTGGCTTTATAGCTCAAAACGGTATTATTTGTTTTGCCTGAGCATTTGATGATTCTTTCTTCTTGATTTCATAATGAGAATAAATTCAGAAATCTGGAGTGAATTCGGAACACTTTACATTGGTTAAATAATGAAATGTATGATTCAGAAATTTACACATGTCAAGTCTAAATTCGGTTTTGACGCCCGGGGACACTGTTGTTTACAGTTAAGACGAAAATCTACACATGCATGTATATTCTTATAAAAAAGAAGATGTGGTATGATTGCCAATGTTCATAATTATATCATGATTAATGTTCTCCCCTAATAATCCATCTAACAGTTGCCAATGGACGTTAAACAACCAACTATTAATTCATTCATCTTATCCATTTAGGTTTGTGATAATTTGTATATCAACTACATGAAACAACTGCAGATTTATACACTATAATTAAGAGGCCGAAATTATTGCACACATAAACCACTCATTCACATCCCTACGTCTTGATTCCCTCACAAAACAACACTTTAATCACGATTGCCTTTATATACATGTAACTGCTTATACATCCTCTTGATTGAACTTACTTGAATAGTTGTCTCATTGGCAATTATACCACATCTCCTTATTTTTACATAAGAGCTAAATTCATCAAAGGCCAACTTAGTCTGAGGGAGCTAAAACCTTCATTTCTTAATATTTTTTTCTAAATTTTAATACTGACAATTTACGAAATGTTTGTTATATATTTTTGTTTATAACATAAGCATCAAAATATATCAGCTATGAAGATTTTTATACCCTTAAATAAACTCATATTTTCCTCGGGCAATATCCGCGGTAATAACAATTAATACTTTAGTACAATAAAAACCATTATCAGGAAATCGGTATGAAAAGTGTTTGCAATTATTGAAATCAAGTAAAAAGAAGTGTATATATATATGTATCAGTCGGAGGTGCATTGGGGACCCTGAAGTCTGATTGTCACGCTGAAGTTAGATGGTCTGCGCCGAAGTGCAGTGGGCCGTCCGATGGTGTGCGATGGTCTGTATGACCTGAGACTACTATAACACATATAGCAGTCTCAGATATGACGCGTGAAAGCTAGATTAAAATCTACAGATGTGCAGTATATTTGTTTCAAATTCAGTACATACATTTGCATTCACTAGTGTTATTGTCTATGTATCTATTAGTTACAGTTGCGTACTAAATGAGAGATCGTCCTCTTTGATTTTCTGGATGTGGAAATAATTCTGCGTTAACATTTTTCTTTAACTTGTTCCTCTCATTGAGATCCTCGTTTACCGTTATATTATAATAAGAAGAGTCTGTGGACCCGTATGTGTTTAGGGAATGCGTTTATTTCACGGTTGAACCTTTGAACCGTTCAAAGTCCTACATGCGTATATAGAATTTTACTCAGAACTCTGAAAGTTGATACCAGCCACCCGATCCTGCAATATTAGCCACTATTAGTGGGAATCTATTAGTAAAATTAGTCTGCTAGTAACACTAACAACAGTATACTTTTATACTGTACAGTATAGATGTTACCTGCTGGTAGTTATAACAAAATATGTTCAATTCGGGGACATCAAAAATCATGACAAGGGTTGTTTTGATTCAAAGAAAATGGCGTGTTGAATGGCACCAACATGATTTTCATAAGGAAAAATTTCCAAATCAGTCACACAATGCACGAGAAGAGGTAAAAGAAGGGCTTTGCTGTCTAATCCTTTTCGTGTTAAAACTGATAAGCCGTGATTTAGAAATATCATCACCACTCGGGTAGTAACGTCAACAAGTCAGGCACAGACAACATTGAAAGAAGAAACAAAACAGAAATATCCACACATGACATTCAGATTGGTCATAGTAATCAGCTGGTAATGATATTTAGGGTAATGAAATCATTTTTAGAAAATGTTAAACGAGTCCGCGGCACAAGTTTTCCCGATGTACTCGGTTTTACAAAAAGTCATCATGCAGTGCTGTTTGCAACGCCGTATCCTTCAATTTCATTAAAGACATAAACTTGAACGGTGTATAAAATGCTTGCAAAAGTGAGAAAACAACATAAACGGCAACGCGTATAGAGATTTTATTTAAATGAAAAACTGATTGATTAAACGATTACTCCGGAAGAATTCCGATTTTGATTCCGTTTTATATTTTATTTTAGCTCTCCACGTGTGAGGTAGAAAAGGTAAACAAAAACAAAGTTTCTTTTTTTCTCTCTTTTGAAATAAGCTATATAAAAAAAAAACAGGCAGCTAATTAGTACCTATTGCAAGATTGTCATATTTACATAAAAGTGTAAGCAAATTCAGTTCTAGAATTAACAAATGAAATTTGTTCGGTGTAGAAAATAAACATTTACCGGGATTGCGGCTTGCCAAACTGAAAACACCATGGACCTGCTAACGCACAAATTCTTCATTAGAGAAGACGTTTAAGAACTAACATGACGGTACCCAAATTGCACCTATTTTGACAGTTTTTCACCTACGTTTTTTTATGATGCAGACAAAATGTCCAATCTGTTTATTTTGTAGATGTATACTTGTTTACTATATAGTTAAACCAATTTAATTTTGAATCCATATTGAATCATAGAAAAATGAGTATGAACCGACCTCCAAACGATCCAGGATTCCATTATGAGGAGTACCCAAATTGCATTGGCCAGACGGCCATGCTTAAATTCACATCCTTATTATTGACCTTAAGAATTGAATAACAGCTAGATGTTTTGTTCCATTTCTTCAAATATTAAGAACAATTTGACATTAGTCCATGCTTACTATATCCATTTTAGGCATTTAATAAGAAATGTTGACTTTTTGAGAACGTCGCATGAAGACAATTCCGTAGATTTACTTTTTCCAGTGAAAGCTTCATCTGTTGATCATTTACTGTGAACGTTTTGTGTATATCTAAATATATTCAGCTATGTTAAAAGACGTGTGTAATGTCAAATCATAAAAATACCAAGTGTTTATTCTTAAAGAAAACTTGTAAGATTTCCACAGCTGTTTTTGTTGAATATGTGCAATTTGGGTACTGTGACGCTATATCTCTTCTCTACAGAGCTTAGTATAGTGACAATCTATTTTCGTATTGGATAATGTATCTGGTTTAAAAAAAACAGTTTGCCACAAGTATTTAGTGACAATCTATTACTGTATTAGATAATGTATCTGGTGTGATTTTTTTTATTATTTTACCACTGAATGAATCACCAATCAAACTATATAAATAGATTGAAGTTGAAAAAAAATATCTGGAAAATTAACTGAATCCCAAGACAGAATGAATAATATAATTATAACTTTTTTGTTATGCCCCACTGCTAGTCGAAGGGGCATTAACTTTTACAGTTGTCATGATGTCCATCCATACATATGTCTGTCTGTACAGAAATTGGTTTCCATTTTCTTACTTTATTTGCACACAATTATTTTTTTCACAGAACACAGATCAATTTGATTCGAATTTGAGTGGCATCACTTTGACCGTTCGTGAGTTATGCCCCTTTATTAACGCAAAAATTGCTGAATCTTTCTTTTCTAGTCTCTAACTTTAGTTTGTCCCAACAAATGTTATAAAACTATGATACACCACTTATTACCACAAAACACAGATCAAGTTTAAATTTGACTCCCGTCACTGTAACCGTTCTTGAGTTACATGTATTTATGCTCCTTTATTATTAAATGGAAAAAATTGCCAAATCTGTGGTGGATCCGACAAACTTTTGTATACCGATTTTATTTATTTAGCTATGATTTACAAAATTCAGAAAAGGTTGAGAAGCATTTTAATTCTAAGGAATTCCAACCTGAAGCAAGTTGTACCAATGGAATTGATGGAAGCCCCCATTAGAACACTGTGCATAACTGGGGTTGCAACTTCACCATCGAATACAGCATCTAGTTCATCAAAGATGACCTATGCTGAAGTGGTGAGACTTCCTGTGCATGCAACAGGTCAGACCAATCTAAAACCACGTTTGATATTAAGGTATGAAAATAATGTCTAATATTGTAAGAATGAATGGAACATATGCCGGAGGAATGTCTGTCATTTTTTGTTTTTATACACCCTACAAACAAAGTTTTGGGAGATACATAAACAAAATTATTATGTTTCTCCAATTCTTAAGTATTATATATATATATAAACAGTCACATATATAACGGTCTGATTTTTTAAACAGAATTTTCAGATTTACTTTACATTTAATAAACAAAGCATACATGTAGATGTACCCGAACTGAGTCATATGCTGCATGAGAAAGGGTCCCGGTATTTTGATTGCAGGATTTGAAAAAAAAAATAAGCGATACTTATTTATAATAGTCTATATGTTGAAAAGTCATGCACACTTAAGATTCTTTCATGAGAGTGACACATTGTTCATTTTCTAAAATAAAACAGGATATACTGTAGATACAAGACAAAATGTATACTGTACTGAACAAATCAAGCGTAAGAAAATAAATCATGTAGACAAATGAAATATACTTGGAAATTGCCCGAACAAATATTGCCTCTACAGCTGCCCCAAAGAGCCCACTCTTAACGAAATTTGCAGAAAGGGTCTTTTACATATATGTACTATAGTTTAGTTACTATCTCCCTTTACGTTTAATATGACATGCTGGCTATGAAATTTAATAATAATTAAACTACAAGCCATCCGCTGTACTGTGGATTCACTTATTTTTGTGGGTACAATGTACCAATTTTCGTGGATTGCGGAAAACTTGCATTTTCGTGGATATTTGATTTTGTGGTTTTGCAAAAGTCTTCATAAACCCTTATTGAAAATATGTAATTCGTTGAACATTTAATTTATTGGTTTAGCTGTACCCAAGAAATCCACGGAAATTGGTATCCAACGAATAATAATGAATCCACAGTATTTCAAAAGGCTATCTGTTTCTTCAGAAAATAACCAGATTTACTTTTTCCAGTGAAAGCTTCATCTGTTGATATTTACTGTGAACGTTTTGTATATATTTAGATATATTCAGCTATGTTAAAAGACGTGTGTAATGTCAAATCATAAAAATACTAAGTGTTTATTCTTAAAGAAAACTTGCAAGATTTCCACAGCTGTTTTTGTTGAATATATGCAATTTGGGTACTCGGTGCAGTATCCAACGAATAATAATGAATCCACAGTATTTCAAAAGGCTATCTGTTTCTTCAGAAAATAACCATACTTTGTGTAGAGATTACATTTTTGTAACACGTGACTGAACAACAAATAGAAAGAACAATACTGTTATACAATTCTATAAGGAATCATTCAAAAATGTTAAAGAGGTACACCAAAAAATTAAAAAAAGTTTTCCCCGTTTTCTAGCAACCCGACTTTTAACTTAATTGCAATAAAGATTTATAATAAATATAAAAATAGTAGTGCTGGATGGGGGATTTCCTTGTGTGAGTTGACTCAAAGTGCTAGTTTATTCAGGTTACACACATTTTATATTTGTAAATGCAGTTTTTATGTTAAGTGTACATATCACTGAAATAAAAGCTAATATTTTAAAAAATATCATATTTTTTGTTATTGGTTAATAAAGTTATTTTTTTTTTTGAATTTTGATTACAGAGTATGGAAATGAAGAAATCAATTGGAGTCCCTGCATTTAAAAGGAGGAGTGTGTCTTCAGTTGAGATTGGTAGAAAAAAAGAAAAACAGTTAGCATATTATTTTGAATAGTATGACTACAAATGGCCATTTATAATAGTATATATATATACATATAGTCATTAATAATATTATACCATAGCAAAACATCAGATAGTATTTTGTACGTTTAATGGTTTTTTTTTTATTTGGCTGATAAATCCAACAATGACATGAATAAAATCAAAATTTTCTTTTCGTTTTATACCAGCTATATGCATGATAAATGTTATATACATTTTCCAGAATAAAGTGTTTATAAAATCTATGATGGAAAATAAATGCTGTATTTTTTATTCATAAATATCAAATGTTAAATAATTAATCCCAAAAAAATAAATCTTAAAATTCTTAATTTAATCTTGCAGATGAAGAAGTGGCACTTATGAAACAGGGTTGGTCATTGTTGCATTACTCTTTATTTGTTTATCTTTTGTTTTGCTCCACTATGCATTATTTCATTTGTTAACAATTTTACAAAGGGTTTCTCCAGAAAAAAAATACAAAGGTGTTTGAGTTGGAACTACATATTTATTTTAAGATACCTACATAAGAATGATAATTATTTTGCCATTAAACCTTAAAAAGTGTATTTCTGAACCCCTTTTTACTTTTTCCTGGTAAATCTCTTACAAGAATGCATGCTCTTATTGTTTTGAACGTCTAGAAACATGGCCCTATTACACATGATACATGTTCTTTCAAGAGGAATTAATTAATATTTAGATAAGATAGATATGCAAGTTACATGTAAAAAGTAAAGTAACAAAAATACCGAACTCCGAGGAAAATTCAGAATGATTGATTGATTGATTGATGGTGTTTTAATGCCACTTTTAAGCGCCACATTTGGGCTATTTCGTGGCGGTCAGTTTTTATAGGTGGAGGAAGCCTGAGTGCCCGGAGAAAACCACCGACCTTCGATAGGAAAACTGACAATCCTAGTCAATTAAGATTGGAGTCGAGTGCACCTGCACGAGCGGGGTTCGAACTCACAACCTCAGTGTTGACTGGCTAGTGATTACAGTAGTAGAACTACTAAGACCACTTGGCCACAGAGGCCCCGTAAATTCAGAATGTAAAGTCCGTTATCAAATGGCAAAATCAAAAGCTCAAATACATGAAGCAAATCAGAAAACAACTGTCATATTCCTGACTTGGTACAGGCATTTTTTATGAAGGAAATGATGGATTTAACCTGGTTTTATAGCTTTTTTTAGTAAAACAATATTTAAAGAATAATAAGATCGTTAGAAACAAAGCAATTGACCTAATCATCATGCATGAAAGTAACTGCACGGTATTATGCTTTGGTCACTATAATGCATGGAGAGATTATGAATTGTGCCTATTTGATACAGCACTGATACAAAAAAAAACTAAAAAGAGATAATGAATGGCCATTGATATAATTTTGAAGTGGACTCACTTACACATGAGCTGAAAAAAATTAAAACCTACCAACAAAATTACTTAATGATTGTACAACTACTGAAATCCCTTTTCTTTTAGTTTAAGACTGTTTAATTTTTTAGTTACTTTCATTTCATATTTAATATTGTGCATTTTTAATAGATACAGGGTAAAGACGAGTAATCTAGTGTTTAGGGTCACAAAGGATGTGGCTGTTGTCCTACCAAACAAAGCTTTACTGTAACATAGTTTTATCAGGTATTGTTGTATATATGTAAGACTCAGATCGACATCCGTTCTCTAATCGACGTCTGTTCCTCAAATCGACGTCCAAATCTGACGTCACAATAAAATAACATTCCAAATCGACGGCCAATTTTATGTCCCTCTAATCGACGTCTTTTTTGTTGTTCTCAAATCCACGTCCATTTTTTTGCTTCTAATCGACGTCCGTTTTATGGACGTGTCGCAGTGAAATCTCATCTTTATCAAAGGTGGGTTGAACCTATAACTCAAAAAAGTTGTTGAAAAATGTAACCAAATTATAATACTTTTCAACAATTTGCCGTAATTATTTATACGACCGCAAAAATTTTTGCGGTCCTATATTTGTATGACGTTGGCGTCGTCGTCGTCGTCGTCGTCCGAAGACACATGGGTTTTCGCACAATAACTTTAGTTTAAGTTAGGGGACAACCATTTGATATTCTGGGGGGGGCCAGGAGGATTTGTTTTGGATCGGTTATTTATTTTTGTAAACTAAGAGGACAGATTATCTATTTTCTGCACTATTGAAGCAAGATTTTTCATTTTCATTAAAGCAAGGGACTGATTATTTATTTTCACAACTATATTTATAATATTCGAAAACATACAATTTTTAAATTATTTATTTTGTTATAAATAATTCATGTATAGTCAAGTCATTATGTATTTAATCAGAATTAATTATTATCCTCTGCAGAAATGAATCTTCTGTATCCCCCAATGCATATACATGTATTGCATACATACACAGTATTAAAGTTTGGTTGTAACTAAGGCTCTTTTAAAAGTATTGGCAAACATGTTTCGCCGAGCGGAGCGAGGCAAAATTTTTTTTAAGGGTTTTTGAACCGCTGAAGGCCCAAGAAGCTATAGAACAAATGATGCAAAATCATGCCTTCTAGGTGTTCCCCAGACCCTTTCTTAAACTGAAAATGCAAGTTCTGTTTTAATAATTTTATGACAATATTTTGATCTCAAAGCAAAATCACGTTATAGATTCAGTGTAAGACTTAACTTTCTAGGAACATCATCAAAAGACAAATATGCATGATAAAGCAAAAATGTAATTCACATAGTTAAGTCTGTGGCTGCTGTGTTTTTTTAAACTCATGATCAAGTTAATAATAAAATTACTAAATTACAAAATGAATGCAACACTAACAGAATACAGAATTGCAATCAATGAACAAAAGACAAATAAATAAGAAACATTGATCCCGAAAAATCAGGGGCAACGTCTGAGGGAGAACAGAACTTGCTTCTTGCAAGGCACTCACGGTGAACACAATTTGATATTGAGACAAGCGTTTGGTTTTGAAATTTCCTACATGAGGCATTTGTCTCAATGTAGTTACGGCCCTGATTTAATAAAAGTGAGGTAGGTGTTCCTGAGACAATTAACCTCAAGTTAAATAAAACCAATTTTCTGACATTTCAAGTATATTTAAATAATATTTATACTTTTATTATTAAAAGAAATGGGAAGTGTTTCCCGATTTTTTTTTGATAAAAGGAGGAATTTATGAAGAATCTGGTGCCATCTCATACTTTCGATTAGACCTGCTGAGTTATTTATTTTCAATACATTACAAGTCAGGTAATTTATTTTCAAACTACCACAGAACAAACCATTTATTTTTGTGATTATCAAGGCTGAGTTATTTATTTTCAAAATCCTCCTGGCCCCCCCCAGAATATCAAATGGTCGTCCCCTTAATGGATCTCTATGAAATTTTACCATAAGGTTCAATACCACAAGAGGAAGGTTGGGATTGATTTTGGGGGTTATGGTACCAACAGTTAAGGAATTAGGGGCCAAAAATAAGCATTTTTATAACTTCCAGACAATAACTTGTGTGATAGTGTATGGATCTCTCTGACATTGTACCACAAGGTTCCATATCACAAAGGGAATGCTGGGATTTATTTTGGGGGTAATTGCCTCAAAATTTTAGGAATTAGGGGCCAAAAAAGGGGCAAAAAACAAGCATTTTTCTTGTGTCATGACAATAACTTCTGTGTAAGTGTATGGATCTTTCTGAAATTGTACTACAAGGTTCCATATCACAAAGTGAAAGCTGGAATTGAGTTTGGGGGTAATTTCCCAAAACGTTTAGGAATAAGGGGCCAAAAAGGGGCTAAAAATAAGCATTTTTATACGTCCGTCAATTTTTGACGGGACGTATTATGGTATACAAATGTCCGGTGTCCGTCCGTCTGTCTGTCCGGCGTAAACATGTCGCACCGTAACTTGAGAATGACTTATCCAAATTTCATGAAACTTAACATAGTTGTTTCTTATGATGGTCAAATGATCTTTATACTTTTTGGTGAAAATAAGATTAAAACTTTTTGAGTTACGGGACTTAGTAACTAAAACAGGTGTGTGTTTTTTTTCACATGGTGCGCCGTATCTCAAAAACAACTTATGATTATTGCTTAAAAATTTACACACTTCTTAGTTATATTAATCTTAAGATCTGCATACTTTTTGGTGATGATTCAAAATTTTATTTTAGAGATATTGAGTATTTTGTTAAAAAAGGGGGAGGGGTTTTTCACATGTCACGCCGTATCTCAAAACAGTTTATGATTATTGCTTAAAACTTTACACACTTCTTAGTTATATTAACCTTAAGATCTGTATACTTTTTGGTGATGATTCAAAATTTTGTTTTTGAGTTATTGAGTATTTTGTAAAAAAAGGGGGAGGGGTTTTTCACATGTCGCTCCGTATCTCAAAAACGATTTATGATTATAGCTTAAAATTTTACACACTTCTTAGTTATATTAATCTAAAGATCTGTATACATTTTGGTTTTGATTCAAAATTTTATTTTAGAGATATTGAGTTTTTTGTAAAAAAAAAAGGGGGGTTTTTGCATGTCACGCCATATGTCAGAAACTATTTATGCTTATTGCATAAAAATTCACACACAAGACGACGGGTGTATCATGCGCTCATGGCGCAGCTGTTTATTCTAGTTTCCAGACAATAACTAGTGTTCAAGTGTATGGATCTCTCTGAAATTGTACTGCAAGGTACCATACCACAAAGGGAAGGCTGGGATTGAGTTTGGGGGTGATGAATCATAAGGGGGTTCAAAAAATTGGGGGGGGGGGGGGATTTTTTTTTCCTCTTTTCCCCATTTTTTTTTTAATTTTTCCATTTTAAAATGGTTATTTTTTATCAATATATAAATAAATATAATATATGGTTTGATTTCATCAATAATTGAAATATTGGGGTTCTTTGATATGCTGAATTTAACCGTGTATTTAGATTCTTAATTTTTGGTCCCATTTTCAAATTGGTCTACATTAACCCTTTAGCCCCCAATCCCGCCTGTAGGCGTGATGGCGACAACCATTCTTTGATGGCCCATATGACCCTCCATACCTTTTTTGAACTGCCCCAGCTGAACTGTCATGATAGCAGGGACTTCAATCAAGCAGTTCATGGTCCATAAACTCTTCTCAGATGTCTGTTCATGAAAATATGGCACTTTGAAAGCCGTTTAAGAGTTCAAAATCGGAAAAACGTGAAAAGTAGCCAAAATCAGGTGGGGGTGGGCATCTTTTGATGGCCACTACGTAACTGGTAGTGACTGTAGGTATAAACTATTATCATAAATGCATGCATAGGTGGTACAGGAACACAACGAGGTATAATATGGCCAATAGGAATCTAGTCTGTAAAATCTAGGTCACTGTTTTATCAAAAATCCGTAAAAATGGACATGTAGGCAGACCTGACTTGACAATAATAATTCCCCAGCAAGACACTTAAGTCCAATATACTCCCAGTTAGCATGAATAGACTGCTGTAACTATAGGGTAATACTTGAATGACAAAGAAAAACAGTCTGGTCAATGTTCACCTCTCAAGGTCGATTTAAAATCGGAAAATAGACGGAAAATTAACATTTTTCAGTGGGGGTGGGTTCAAACCCACGAGAAAATAGCTGAAACTTACCGTGTATGTATTTAGATTTTGGATATTGGACCATAATAAATAAATTGAAAAATTTTAAGTTCTTAGACCACATTCATTCTGTGTCAGAAACCTATGCTGTGTCAAATATTTAATGACAATCCAAATTCAGAGCTATATCAAGCTTGAATGTTGTGTCCATACTTGCCCCAACTGTTCAGGGTTCGACCTCTGCGGTCGTATCAAGCTGCACCCAGCCGAGCATTTTATTATTCTTTCTATTGTTTGAGTCTGTATAGATGTACTGTCCTCTAGATGTCTTTTGATTATTTTTGTCTTTGGGTTGTTGTCTCATTGTCGTACAATGTATACCCACATTTATTTGTTTATATGAACATGAAAAGAAAATGACAACATAGGTCAAGAATATGAACGTCTTTCACCAAAATATTATTATGCATGTACATGTAAAGTAATAATGATGTCGGTGATCGTCTTATTGTCATTTTCTGATGTTAAACAGTAATAGTTTTCAGTAAGCTACTAGTTCTTGATGAAGGTAAATCAAGAAAAGCGCTTCGGACGCATTAAATTTATAACTTGTTGTTTTCATTTTTTTCCACAAAAAGACAAAAAGATACAGATAATATAAACAAAGATCAATCTGAAAATAAATGATTCAATGAAATTTATAGACCCCGAGATCAGCTGTCGTTTTTGTGATTCATAACGTCAAATTTGGACTTCGATTTGAGGAACGGACGTCGATTTGAGGAACGGACGTCGATTAGAGACCGGACGTCAATCTGAGTCTAACGTATATTTAATGACTTGTGCTGATATATATAAATATATATATTGAACTGCATAAATATCAGATCTCTGCATTTCCATCCATTAATAGTGTTACTTCAAAACCAAAAGACAAAATCATATAAAGAATATGTTTGGACTACATTACAATGTATCTTGAATGTATTTATTTAACTATGTAATATAAACTTCAGGTTTGATAATAGTAAAATGTTCTTCAGCATCAATTATCATTGTTTGCTCATAAACTATTGTCTTAATGTGGAAAAATCTGATTTATAGTAATACATTGTTTTAACTTCATATAGACTCACATAAAAAAGCAACTGCTTGAACCCATAGCAATACAGCCTACGAAGAAAATGCCAGTGATGAAGAAAAAAGAAAAGGTACACATTTTATTTATTTTAAACATTTCTGCCCAATTGATAATGCAAAGCATTACATATTAAAGTATGTTATTTTTTTAGTTCAGAGTTCTTGTTTAATGCTATTCTTTGTATATATTTCCACCTTCACTGAATTAAGCCATTGTAGTATGAAACTTTTTTGTGTTCAGAGATGTGTGTTAATATTTCCACTTTCACTGAAGCCATCATAGTAGGAAACTTTTTTGTGTTCAGAGATATGGGATATATGCAAAAGTTGATCATTTAATTAAATTCATGGTGATTATTGTTGCAGAGCACCTTTAATTGTCCTGTTTGTCCAGTGATGTGCTTAAAAGAAGACTTTTTGATAGATCATGTTATTTTGGCCATACTGAAAAAATAAAAAAAGGTTTGATTGATAATGTCATATATTACATGAAACTACTGCCTTCATTCAAACATTGGGCATCTTCCCAAAACAAAAATGAAAACATTTGATAGATTAGCGATTCAAAGAACTCAAGGACTCAAGGAAGTTAAACCGAAAAACAACTTATAACCAATAACTATCACATAAGAAAATGCTTGTAAATATGTAAAAAGCGTGTACATGACATTTGAAATAAATAAAGCGTGTATTACACAATTGAATAGGTAACTATGGATACATGTACTTTTTATCATATAACCAATTGGAATGTTACACTTTCATTTCCCAGTCAATCATATTCATGTAATTTTTTATTCACTCCTTGCAGTGTAATGCAAGAAATATCTCTTAATGTGAGAAATAGACAACATGCTATAAACATGAGAAAATAGATTTAATTTTCTAAGGCTTGACACATTTATAAAATGATCAACATAGAATAAAGAATGGAAACGGGTAATGTGTCAAAGAGACAACAACCCAACCAAAGAGTAGAAAACAGCCCAAGGCCACCAATGGGTCTTTAATGTGCACTATTATATGATTGTTATAAGCAAAAAATAAATAAGAATTTATGTTCTTATGCCTTCATTTATTTTGTAGGCAGAATTCAGACAGACAGAGATTCGTCATTTCAGGTTAGTTATATACATTCAGAATACATCACACCATTTGACAATATGGTAAATTACTTAAAGGATGTTTTCTACTCAGTTTCAAAATATCAAGCTTTTCCTAACACTGGTAAATATTGATAGGAGAGTAATAAACTCACTCACTCACTCGCTCACAACTAAAAGAGCTAAAATACTTAAAGGACTGTGTTGTTTGTGCTTGTTTTTGAGATATAAGCTATTGAAAATTTGGGGGGGAAATTCTCTCTTGAATTTTGATATCTTTATAATTGACAAATCTTACTTCACAAACACTATTACAAAATGCTAGGATGCTAAAATTACAAGAATTTGATAAGATTTTTACAAATGGCTTCTCTCCGGCATAATAAAGATTTATGAAAAGAAAAATGAGTGTAAGTGGCAAAAATAATTTTTGGTCTTCAAATGGACAGAACTAGAGGAATTCCAAAATCTGACAATAATTTAAAAACCTGACTAGCAAACATCTTTAATTAATATGGATTTAATTCTGCTGTATGGTATTATTTATATTTGAACTTATGGAAGATTTATATACACTAAAATACAGGTGTTCAAATTGGTGTTGGTCTGAGGTCCATGACCTTCCAATTACTGGTTTGGACCTTCCCACCGGTAGTTAGTTACACCCTATGTACTTTCAAATATTTGCAGTTCAAATGAATTACAAAAACATATTGAGCAAAAATATGAAAATTTAGTATGAAAATGATCTTAATATACGCAACTATACTGAAAGGGAACTTATGTGGTTACTTACATTCTTTACCCTCGTGACGGGTCTTCGTACAAGATACCAGGAAACTGGAGAATATAATATTAGAACATAACTAGTATGAATGAGTCTGTTTGGTTTTTTATGAATTGAATTATCAAAAAAAATTGGCTCTTCAAAAAATAATGGAGGACCTTTAAGTATTATAAGTCGAAGGTCAGGCTGGACATTTTGAAGTTAATTACATTATTAATTATTAATTAGATCTGGGTTATATCTTAGCATATAATATCATTGGAGTGACAGATTTATTTGAAAATTTTCTGTTTCCTGATAAGATCTGTAGGACTGTATATATAAAGTTTGAAATTTACTAGTTAAGGACAGTATAAATGAAATTTGAAATTTACTGTTCATTATTAGACATTTTGTAGATAATTAAGTCTCCCTAAACCATATATATTCTTACCCCCACCCCCTTTCAATTTGAGAATGTGCTTTTATCTTGTAAATGGTTGAGATCCCCACCCCTAAACCATATATATTCTTGTATGGAACAATAAAACAAATCAAATGAAATATTTAGAGAGTCCCCGGGTTCACCCCCACCCCCCTACTTTTTGAAAACTTGTAAACAGTGAAGATCCCAACCCTGAAACCATATATATTCTTGTATGTGACAACAAAACAATTCAAATGAAATAAAAGGTGAGTCCCCTGGGGTCACCCCCACCCCCTCCTGTTTGAGAACTTGTAATCGGTCGAGATCCTCACCCCTAAACCATATATATATTCTTGTACGGGACAATAACACAAATCAAATGAAATATAGGGGAAGTCCATTGGGGTCACCCCCTACCCCTCCTTTTTGAAAACTTGTAAACAGTCAAAATCCCCACCCCGAAACCATATATATTGTTGTATGGGACAATAAAACAAATCTAATGAAATAAAAGGCGAGTCCCCTGGGGTCACCCCACCCCATCCTGTTTAAGAACTTGTAAATCATCGAGATCCCCACCCCTAAACCATATATATTCTTGAATGGGACAATAAAACAAATCAAATGATATATAGGGGAAGTCCATGGGGGTCACCCCCACCCCCCTTCTTTTTGATAACTTGTAAACAGTCGAGATCCCCACCCCTTAACCATATATATTCTTGAATGGGACAATAAAACAAATCAAATGAAATTGAGGGGGAGTCCCCTGGGGTCACCCCCACCCCCCTTTTTTTTGAAAACTTGTAAATGGTCAAAATCTCCACCACAAAACCATATATATTCTTGTATGGGACAATCAAACAAATCAAATGAAATACAAGGCGAGTCCCCTGGGGTCACCCCCACCCCCTCCTGTTTAAGAACTTGTAAACGGTCGAAATCCCCACCCCTAAACCATATATATTCTTGTATGGGACAATAACACAAATCAAATGAAATATAGGGGAAGTCCATGGGGGTCACCCCCACCCCCTTTCTTTTTGAAAACTTGTGAACGGTCAAGATCCACACCCTGAAACTATATATATTCTTGTATGGGACAATAAAACAAATCAAATAAAATATAAATGGCGAGTCCCCTGGGGTCACTCCCACCCCCTCCTGTTTGAGAACTTGTAAACGGTCGAGATCCCCACCCATAAACCATATATATTCTTGTATGCAATAAAACAAATCAAATGAAATATAGGGAAAGTCCATGGGGGTCACCCCCACCCCCCTTCTTTTTGATAACTTGTAAACCCCACCCTAAACCATATATATTCTTGAATGGGACAATAAAACAAATCAAATGAAATTGAGGGGGAGTCCCCTGGGGTCACCCCCACCCCCTTTGTTTTTGAAAACTTGTAAATGGTCAAAATCTCCACCCCGAAACCATATATATTCTTGTATGGGACAATCAAACAAATCAAATGAAATACAAGGCGAGTCCCCCGGGGTCACCCCCACCGCCTCCTGTTTAAGAACTTGTAAACAGTCAAGATTCCTACCCCTAAACCATATATATTCTTGTACAGGACAAAAAAAAATCATATGAAATAAAGGAAGAGTCCCCTTTTGAGAACTTGTAAACGGTCGAGATCTCCACCCCTAAGCCATATAAATTCCTGTTCGTAATTTCAAGAAGATTTGAATGACATACAGGGTCAATCCATAGGCGTTACTAATGCATATCATAAACTAATTTGTACTGGACATTGCCCAATGTCAAGCGACAATGGGAATGACGAATTATTGGAGCTTTGTTTGGGAGACTTCATAACAGCATTCTGTTACAATTATTTCTTGTTACTGATAAGTTTTATAGATTTTGAAATGACATTGTATTAATGATAAATAAAATTTTGGATTTTTTTCTTCTTTTCTTTGGTAAATTGTTTGTAGAATTTTGTGGCAAGTTTGTTTGTTATTCTGTAAAAACTAATTTTCTGAATGCTATATATATTTTTTTTTTGATGAAGTAAACTCCTTTAAAAACTAAGCTTATATTGTCTATTAATAAACATATATTTAGATTTCTGATTTTGGGCCCAGTTTTCAAGTTGGTCCAAATTGAGGTCCAAAATTAAACTGTTTGATTTCAACATAAATTAAATATATATAGGGTTCTTTGAAATGCTTAATCTAAACCTGTATTTCTTTTCATTATTAATAAGATAATACCACATTGAGGTCCAAAGGGTCCTAAATTACACTTTTGATTAATTTCATCAAAAATTGAATTCTTTGGTTCTTTGATATGCTGATTCTAGCAATGTTTGAGTGTTAAATCATATCTAGTTTTAGAGAACTTAGTCATCACTGGTTGTTATTATTATATTGATAATAATTTGAAAAATTGCATCATATCTTATTTTAGAGAACTATTTATCCAGTTTGAGTTATTTCCCTTTGCACAGAAAATATGGATAAAATTAACCTGTGTTTCATTTCAACATAAATTAAATATATATAGGGTTCTTTCAAATGCTGAATCTAAACCTGTATTTAAATATTAGATTTTTGGGCCCAGTTTTCAAGTTGGTCCAAATCAGGGTCCAAAATTAAACTGTTTTATTCAACAAAAAAATTATTTATGGGGTTCTTTGAAATGCTGAATCTAACCATGTATTGAGAGATTTTGGATTGTGGGCTCCTTTATCAAATTGGTCCACATTGAGATCCAAAGGGTCTTAAATTAAACTTTGTCTGATTTCATCAAAAATTGAATTCTTGGGGTTCTTTGATATGCTGATTCTAATATGTACTTAGATATTTGATATTGGACCATAATAGGTATTTAAATTTCCAATTTCAAGTATTTCAGTTCTTAACCACATTCATTTTGTTTCACAAACCTATGCTGTGTCAAATATTCAATCACAATCCAAATTCAGAGCTGTTTTAAGCTTAAATGTAGTGTCCATACTTGCTCAACTGTTTAGGGTTCAACCTCTGCAGGAAAATCCGGTTTGCTGTCACTCTGACAGCCTCTTGTCTTTTTATTAGATACCAAATAAAGAAAATGCTGTTGAGAAACAGGGGAGTTTCTGTGATTAGAATGATACACAAAGAGCATTTGGTAGTGTATAATAGATGATATTTTTTTTAATTGGATACAGTAAATAACAATATTTTTGTATACATTATTGTCACCATTTTCAATCTGACAACAGACTTGAAATTTAAATTAAGTTTAAAGAGGTATTACATGTATTTACATTTGCACAAACAAATATGTTGATAGGTTTGATTTCTTTCAAGAAAAATGCTATTTCTGCACATACTGCCTCTTTAAAAGTCTTACTTTTGAATAGAATTTATGTATAAATATATAAAAAAATCTTAAACATGGTGATTTGTGTTTGTAAAAAGTTCTTTTTATATTATATAAATTATTGCAGTTAATCATTCACTATTAATGTACTTTTAACATGTTTAAGCAATCTTTAGTTGTTGAAATTGTATTTTTTCAAGATTTTTACCGTTTTTCATTTTAATTTTATCAATCAAGTTTATAAAGAGTGTGTATATAATGCAACTGAAAACTCTTTATCTCTGTTCTGTATCTAATAATATAAATATATATCTATGTGTATATTGTTTCAGAGTGTAATGAAGTTGAGAGTAGTATTTTAACCAAAAGAACATCTGCCTTAACAACAGTGAAGGTTTTAGCGAGCAGGTGCTATTTGGTGATGTTGAAAGAAATCCAGGACCTACAATGGTATCAATCACCCCAAAAAATGTTATGTTTGAGACTGAAATTTATTTAGGATTATTTGATCTGAAAAAAATACTTTTAATTTGAGACATATAAACCTAACTCATTTATGTCATTGGCACTCATACCACAACTTCTTATATCTATTAACAACTTCATTAAAACCCATTTAATAATTCAGGCGTATTGGATAATGTTTCAATTCATCTTTACCATAATTTTCATGGAAATTTTATGTTTTATTGACCAAATGGAAAATCTGGTTAGTACTCTGGTGAAGTAAGGCAGACTGGACATGCTGCTACAAACAGTTTCCATGGGATTAATTTAACATTTGATCAATTCAGAAATGGAATTATTTAAAGACCTGAACAAAAAATCAACTTTTACTGTCTTCTCAAATTATTTTTTTTCAATTTTTTTTTTTCCTTTAATTTCAAAATAAGAAGAGACCTTACTGGTACAGTTTTAATTTTCCAGATCCAAAATCAAAAAAAAATAATGAAATAATTCTGATATAATTGATACACTGTACTGTATGCTAAATCTATTGAAGATTATTGTTTAAAACCTCCTGCCATGATATAATCTTGTACTTTATCCATCTTATTATACATCCCACAAAGTTTTTGAGGTGATTAAATAATAGGAATCACCCTGTCTGTCTATCCGCCCATAAAAACAAAACAAATTGTCCTATCAAATCAATGTAATTATCTGCCCTTGATTTTAATAGTTTTTTTTTTTTTTTTTTTTCTAAAAAATTTAAAAACGCTTCATCACACTTAATTTTTTTATAGTTTAATCTACCTTTCAAGCTAAAGATGTTCCAGTCGTATAATGAATTATACTTGGTAAAATATTTTTAAACCAAAAAAGGGTATTTTTTGTAACATGTCCAAACTGGAAGATCAGAAACAAGACACCATTCCAAATTGAGTTTAATATATCATAGGAAAAGCCAGTCATCTTGTGGAAATGTGATGACCGAACATGCGAGGGCTGAACAGCCAGTCAAGGTCGTTAAACACTTCCAGTAGAAATGTGATCAAAACTGTTCAAACTTTTTTTTTTTCATTTAGAATGAATGTTTATTTCAATAATTGAACCAGATTTTGTGAATTTTACATGAAAGCCATTTTATTTTAGGTTTATCAAGACTAATCTTAGTGCTTGCCATTCAAGTGTCAAAGAGTGAAGGGCAAGAATAATTTTAAAGAACAGAGAAGACTTGTTTTATTGCACTTAGTTTTGAGTTTTTGTTTTATATTTTACCACTATGATAGAGTAATGTAACATTCAGGAAATGTATTGTTCTGATATATCTGTTTTATAATTTCTCTTTTTCATATGTCCGTTTATGGGAGGTATTATGGTATATCGTTGACCGTCTGTCTGTCCGTCTGCCCGTCCATCGTCAACATGTCGGACATTAACTCAAAAACGCTTTAACCAATATGCATGAAACTTTAGTGAATTGTTTATATCTATTCACATGAGCTCCCTTTCATTTTTTATAAATTTCGGATTTACCGTTTCCGAGTTTTGTGGGTTTTATTCATTAAAAAAGGAGGGATTTTCCAGTTTTTGGACAATAACTCAAAAACAATTTCACCAATTTGCAAGAAACTTTGGTGAATTGTTTATTTCTATCGACATGAGCTCCCTTTTGATTTTTATAAATTTTAGACTAGATGTTTCCGTTTTATGGGGTTTTATTGATTACAAAAAGGGGGATTTTCAAGTTGTCGGACAATAACTCAAAAATGCTTTCAGCATTTTTTATGAAACTTTGGTAAATTGTTTATATCTATTGTTGTAAGCTCCCTTTTGATTTTTATAAATTTTTAGATTTTACGTTTCCGAGTTATAAGATTTTATTCATAAAAAAGGGGTGATTTTCAAGTTTTTGGACAATATCCTTAAAGTGCTTAGGGCAGTTTTCATTAAACTTTGATGACTGATTTATATCTATTAAGATAACCTCCCTTTATTTATTTTTTATAAATTTCTGATATAACATTGAGAAGTTATTGTTTGTTTATAGTCTGACAACAGATTTACTAAGTATTGTGCAACAGCACAATGTATTGCACAACAGCAAGAAATCTTTAATTGAATATAAATTCAATTCATATAACCAATTTCAAGTTCTTTACTACAATGATTCAGAAACCTATAATATGTCAAATATTTAATTACAATCCAAATTCAGACCTGTATCAAGATTGAATATTGTGTCCATTTTTGCCCCAACTGTTCAGGGTTGGACCTCTGCAAGCGTATCCAGCTGTGCTCAGCGAAGCAGTTTATTAGATATGTTTTAGATGGTTTTTTTATACCTTTTCCTACTTGAGTACCATTGACAACTATTTAAAGTTTTTAGTAAGGTTACTTTCTTCAATTTGTTTATTTCATAATATTAAGATGTCATTCTTGAAATACCTTGTAGGTATAAACTGTGTTTTTTTCTTCTTGATATGTGTAGTATAAATCCCCGCCCCCCCAATTATGTTTAGTTTTGAAAAAAATATATATACCATAAGGACTGTCCACTATGGATGCCTCTCTAAATAAAGATAAGAGAATCTTGGCATACATTAAATACAAATTTCTAAAAAAAAAAAATTATGAAGACTCCATACAAAAAAACTTTGGAAAGTGTCACACCAGTGATTCTTTTTGTATAATTCAGGTTAGTTCTAAATCTCATTTTTCATTGGGGATTATCTTCATTGCATAGAGGATGCATTTATCATCTAGTTTAATATACCTCACAATGTGATTTTTAAATGTTGTAAATACAGAAAAACATACATAATGATTATGATATGCTAATACTTCATTATTGCAAATAATTTTACTTTAGATTATGATGAATATTTAAACTGGAATTAACAATTCACATGTTATGCTCATTGATTGTTGACATTATGTGTTGAAAGAAGTCAAAGGACTAAGAGTTACAAGACAGAAAGTCAACAAGTCACAATTTATTAATTTACAATTATTTAAATGTATAAGATAAATTGCTTGTGCATTATTAATTTTTGAAAATGGTAAATTTGTTAATAATTTGTTTGGTCTATAAATTATAATAGATTAAAATGTCAATTGAATAAGTCTTCCTATTAAAAAAAAAAATCACTCAAAACCACATAGTGACCTCTTGTTCTATATTTTTAGCTCACCTGGCCCAAAGGGCCAAGTGAGCTTTTCTCATCACTTGTCGTCCGTCGTCCGTCGTCCGTTAACTTTTACAAAAATCTTTTTCTCTGAAACTAGAGGGCCAAAGTTAACCAAACTTGGCCACAATCATCATTGGGGTATTTAGTTTAAAAATTGTGTCCGACAACCCGGCCCGCCAACCAAGATGGCTGCCATGGCTAAAAATAGAACATAGGGGTAAAATGTAGATTTTGGCTTATATCTCTGAAACTAAAGCATTTAGAGCAAATCTGACAGGGGGGTAAAAATGTTCATAAGGTCAAGATCTATCTTTCCAGACAAATCAGACAACCCGTTGTTGGGTTGCTGCCCCTGAGTTGGTAATTTTAAGAAAATTTTGCAGTTTTTGGTGATTATCTTCAATATTATTATAGATAGAGATAAACTGTAAACAGCAATAATGGTCAGCAAAGTAAGATCTACAGACGTAAATTGTCAATTGACCCCTTAAGGAGTTATTGCCCTTTATAGTCAATTTTTTACGATTTTCGTAAATTTTTGTGATCTTTTACAAAAATCTTCTACTCTGAAACTACTGGGCCAAATAGAATCAAACTTAGCCACAATCATCATTAGGGTATTCAGTTTAAAAAATGTGTCCGATGACCCTGACTGCCAACAAAGATGGCTGACATGGCAAAAAATGGAACAAATGGGGTAAAATGCAAGTTTTGTCTATTATTCTGATAACCGTTATAAAAAGAGGAAATCTGAAGAGGGTAAAATTGTTCAGAATGTTGAGCTCTACCAATTATCCATATACGTCAAAACTATAAGACAATTTCCTGTAGGAGTTATTGCCCTTAAATGACAAATTTTACCACTTTTTTTCGATTTTTGTCTATTATCATATCTTGAAAACTATAAAAGATAGAGAGAAACTGTAAATTGCAAAAATGATCAGAAGGACAAGTTCTTCAAATAAGTCTTATGGTTGAAATCATCAGTTGACTCCTTATTAGAGTTATTTCCCTTTGATGCCGATTTGTACAATTTTTTTTGCGTTTTTGTCTTATATCTTAAAACTTATAATAGATAGAAAGAAACTTAAATATACAAAAATGATCAGCAAGACAAAATCTACAATTAAGACAAATGGCAGAAATTGTCCAACGACTCCTTATTGGAGTTATTGCCCTTTAATTATGATTTTTACCATTTTTTTGGCGTTTTTCCTTGTATATTAATTATAATAGATAGATAGAAACTTAAATAATCAAAAATGATAAGCAAGACGAGACCTACTAACAAGTCAAATTTTGCTGATATAATAAGTAGACTGTTACTCTTTATAGGAGTTTTTTTACCCTCTTTTGTGTTTAGAGCAAAAGCTAAATAAGATCATGAAGATAGAGAGAAACTAAACAGACTTCAATGATCAGCAATATAAGATACAAAAAAAACCAGAGATTTTTGTCATTAATTCTATTCTCGTCTACAATGTTGGAGAGTGTCCACTGTTGAATATGCATATAGACCAAGGTGAGCGACACAGGCTCTTGAGAGCCTCTAGTTTAATTGGTTACTTTTTTGTCTATTTTGTTTTATACCATAATCATGATAATATTATGCATGATAAATATAAATTGTGCTTTATGCATGTCACTAATGTATAGATAATTTTCTTTAAATGTTGTGTAAACTTTATTTAGGTATTTATGGTAATGTATTCATTTACCTATATATAAATTTAGAAAAATTAAAAGTTTTATAATAAAGAAAAAAACAAATTAAAACATTTTTTGATTGATTTTTTATCCAATATGTATATTAAAAGGAAAGCTGTTCCAATAATAGATATGGCATTTAAATATAACTTGCATCATATAGAAAATAAAACAGCAAAAGATAGAAAACAAGAGAGAAAATTGCTTCAACAGGGTTGTACTGTCATATTCAAAGTCACATTTCCTGTTTACAGAAGGAATGCAATATAAAGCCTGCATTGGACTTAGTATTGTAGCTTAAAGCATGTGTGAAATGATTTTTTTATTAAATGATGACTGCTATTTTAACTAAGTAAAACTAGATCAGGATACAATCTGTGTGAATTATGTGGGTTTCTTAGAAAGGGTCTACATGTATGCATGTATGTATTGTCTGTGATTCAGTATGTTATGTCTAGTTCCAAGATCTAGTCTGAATGTATTTTTCCACTATTCAAACATGCAGCATGTATGCTGTTTCTATGGTTTTTATATACAGTCTATGCAATATGTAATGGTTTTAAATTATGATACATGACTTTATCATGTTACAGGATCATTTTTCTTAAAACACCTTTCATTTCAGTTTTTGTCTATATAAAGCTTTATATTTCAAAAGTTAGAAGGCCTAGATACTGCAGATACCATATGTTACGAAATTTCCCTCTGTCAAATGTCCATTGTCCTCAGCCTCATTTTCATGGTTCAGCATCTGCTTAAAGAAAAACAATGTTTGTCATGTGAATTTCTTACATCTATGAGCAATAGGATAACTATATTTGGTATATGGGTTCCTTGCAATGTCTACATTTCAGTCAGACAGGATTCTTCTGACCTTGACCTCATTTTATGTTAAAGTTATGTGATTAGATCCATTTCTAAAATACTGGAAGCATTAGGTCAATTATAGGTTGTGTATGTAATGATTGTAAGGGGTACATGTCAGTCCGGCAGGTTTCATCTGACCTTGATCTTATTTTCATGATTCACTGGTCAATGTTAAGTTTTTTGTGTTTTGGTCTTTTTTTCAAGTACTACATAAGCAATAGATCAACTATATTTGGTATATGGAATTATTGTAAGGTGTGCATGTGTGTCTGACAGGATTTATCTGAAATGTGAATTGTCTGCGATACTTGTAGTGAAACCTTAATCTATAAGACTCATAAAATCAATGGTCAGTAAAGCAGGTGAGACATTTCAGTGTGTGCACTCTTGTGTGTTTTTAGAAGTCAAATATGATGTTTTGCCTTTGAAATGTACTTTTACTGTACCTAGGCATTAGTCTAATTTAGTTAAATACAGATTATGAAAGATATAAGGCAAATGTACATGAAACAACCAGTAAAATATAGATAATGAAAGATATAAGGCATGTACACGAGACA